GGGGTGGGGTGGGACTTGTTGAGTGTGATCAGAAATTGGGGCTTGAGGTTGGAGCGTGGCTGGCAATTGGCGTTAACAACAATCAGGTGTGGACGCAGGGACAGACGCTTTGGAGGCGAGACGGGTGTGATGGCAGCGGACACAGCTCAGTGCTGTAACAGGGTGTTTGAAGGCGGGAAATGCGGTGAATGTTGGGCGCGTCGGCCTGGAGAGCGCCATAATGCACAGCGGGCAGGCTCGCACGTACAGTATTTGGCTGCACAGCATCAGGTTACCGGGCCACAGCCTGTGCCCGGCGCCCGCTGCACATCAGCGCCCATTGTGCACGACAGCAGCATATGAACGCAGGGATTCTACCCTCCTCCCTCCGAACAACTCACTGCACGAGAACGCCTGCAACGCCTTCCTCGGGCAACTTCGGCTGCGGGGGCAGATTGATGGTGTTCTGAAGGAATGCCCTGAGGCGGCGGTGGCCCGTGCCCCTGCAAAGAAGATTGCAAGGAAGGATGCGTACGGGACCGGTCAAACGAGCACGCTGATTGGGCGGGCAAGGACTCACAGGCGGCCAGAAAAGCGGATTGCTGAGCCTTGCGGGTTGCACCACTCACTTGCCCAGTGTTTGCAGCTTATCAAGCAAGAGTTTCTCAACCACCCTGACACATCAAGGTGCGAAAGGAGAGGAAATGGGACTGAGCCTCGCGGGTGCTTGCTCCTGCAAGTACCGCTGGGGTCAGGAGCAGCTGCATGACAACCAGCATCCGCGCTCTGTGGCAGCTAGTTGAAACGCACTAGGTGCCCCCTGCACCCTGCAGAGACGCGCACTGCACCCCTGAACCCACTCACTTTGGGAGGGCAACGGCTGCCCCGACGGATTCTGCACCCACGACTGCTGGGGCTGGCGCGACGGCCGCTGACAGGGCGGTGCGGACGCTGACATCGTCACACCAGGGCAGCTGCGTGCGGTCCTTTTGGGGGATCTGAACGGTCAGGATCGGCTCGACCCTGCACCGTGTCGCAATGCCGCTGGAGGCGAAGTTCGACGCGAATATGTTGCAGGATTTGAGGGTGCTGTTCAGCACGCCAGGGCACCTGGAAGGGAGCGCCAGGGAGCGGCGGGGATTCAGGGCGCTTGGTTAGCCTGCAGGCAGCGGCGCCTGGGCGAAGCAGCAAGCGAAGACTCGGATGGCAAGCATGTGGGCAAGGTGCTATGCCCCTCAAACAACCCCGCCCTGGCACATCACTTCGCGTCCTTGCCTGTAGAGCCCCTGGCCGGTGAGAAGCAGCGACGCGTTGACGTCCGCTGTTGCCAGCGGCAGCGCGGCGCGTGAGAGAGTCATCTCTGCGGCTGAGCTGGCGCAGGCCAGGTCGTCCGCCGCGTAACCGACCGTGGGCGCCCACACGTTGAACTTCACGGCGCGAGCCCCAGTACGGCGCTGGTAGCGCCAAAGGTCCTTCACCTGATTTTGGGGGTTTGGAAGATAGAAAACAGTAACGCGCCAGTAGGGGAGAAAGTGGGCTCTGGGGACCAGCGAGGCGAGTGGTGTGAGGAAAAGTAGCTGCCGCAGTATGGCCCAGGTCAATTGCACTATGACCTGACCTTATCAGCCTAACCCCCAGCAGGGCGGGGGGGCCCAGCAGAGCGGGAGCCTGTGTGCAGCACGCGTACACTTGCAATTGCCGTCCAACACCGCTTTGTCTGTGTGTACCATTCCCGCTCACTGCGACCTACAAGACCACAAGCATACGCACGGGGTTGCACGCACGCGCGCACAGGTATGCACACACGTGCGCGCACATGGCAGAGACAAACACTTCAGCATGCAGATGGACTCACAATGAGTGCCTGCAAGAACACATGCGAGCACACACATGCACAGCAATGCACGCACACATACAGACACGAACACATACACAGACACGGACACAACACACACACACACACACACGCACGCACGCACGCACGCATGCACGCACGCACACACACATGCGCCCACCTCAATCCGCTTCATGTTGCCCAGCGCCTCTATATTGGGCAGCATCGCAATGCCGGTGTACCTGCCCGTGACCCCGTCCTTCTCATACAGGATCTTATTGAGGTCTAGGCGCGGCGATTTGTCGCCGTCCCACTGAACAATGTCGTAAGGGATGCCCCTGGCTGCCAGGGCCGTCGTGAGGAAGTCTGTCTGGTTGGGGCCTGCGGCAGCGTGCGGCCGGGTCGGATCGGCACGGAAAGCGTTGGGTGGGGCCAAAGAGGGCCGCGCCATGAAAAAGCGCGCAACACCAACTCTCCATTCTGATAAGCGGAGCTGCGGCGCCACGGGACGAAGGTATTGGTGCATGGGGCCCAACGCTGCAGGCATCCATAGGCGGCCGACTGGGCCGCTGCCAAGAACTTCCGGCATTTGTGCCCCACAGACCTGCCAGCAAGTGCCACCGGGGGCTTTGAGCAAAATGCATGTTCCGTACCACATCGTCTCATGCCCCCAGGTTGCCAACCTGGCGTCGTCAGGATCAGAACGCGGTTCCCGGCGTTCTGCGCGGCGGCGTCGCTGTTCGGCAGAAGCAGCAGTGAGCACGCCAGGGCCAGCGCCAGAAGCCTCATCGCTTAGAGTAACTTGCGCACAGAGACCAGCTGCTGCAAGCTACGGGGGCACGAAGAACTGCCAGCAGGAGCGGCGCTCTCGAAAGGTCACACAGATGTGTCCGGTTGGCAGTACTTGTGAAATGAGTTGTGTGATGCACACTACGTGACTTTGGAATGGTGCAAAATCAGAGGCATTTCCTCTGGTGTAACCCGGTGCGTCACCTGATCCAGCTCGGCGATGAGGACGGCAAGTGAGAAGCTGCGAACAAGAACATGTAAAGACTGTCTTAGATGTTCAATTGCTTTTACCCACAAGCATACCCCCGGGCCTGATGCAAGCTGTCATGGGAAATGCCGTCACACATTTTCAACCCAGCAGCAGTTGGCCGGGAAGTCGCTGCAGGTGCAAAGTGGGTTGCGCACATCATGGGATTTTAACGATCTGAATGCGCCATTTACCCACTGTCAATCCGTGAGCCAGGGCTTGCCGCCTGCTGTGACGCAATGCAGTTTTCTGCTCCTGGTCATGTGCATGTGGTGCTGCACGTGCTTCTCCTGCCAGGTGCAGCCGAGCACATGCAGATTGACTGGTGTTATCCAGCAATCAATTGGCAGAATAAGGACTTAAATGGGCATGGGGACGACAGGGGGCGAAAGCAAGTCGCGCCAGAAATCTACTCAGCTGTGCATGCGTGCTGGTGCATCCAGATGGCGTTTGTGCTCAGGGTGGGTACAGGCTTCGAACTGTGTGTTCCCGGGTGTAGCAGATTGACGTGGGTCATGAGTGTTATGATGCACGGTGCGGGTGGGCGTAAACACGTGGGTGGAGGGCGGGATGGGTTCTTTGATGGACCTGCACATGTGCTCACGCGCTGTTGACCTGTATGCTCACCTGCCACTGCCAACCGAACGGAAATTGCGGCAAATTGAACACACTCCCTCAAGCACGCGCCTCCACGTACACTCCGCGCACACTGTAGAACACGTGCAGCAATTGTGCGCATAAAAGCCCACGCGCGTGCGCACGCACAAGCACTCACGCAGATGATTTGTGCCCACACCGCACAAATCAACGTACCGGTGCATATCGTATGATATTCACGTAAATTTTGTTTTGTGCAGCGCAGGTTGTGCTTCTGCGGCGCTGTTGAGAGCAAAAGATGGCAGCAATTCTGAGCATGGGCATCGCCGGCATGGTCGGCGCATTGGTGGGCAGCGATCATGCGCAAGATCACGCAGGCCGCTGGGTCTTGTCACTGTTACCGGTATCACTTGAGTTCAGTCGTTGTACCCACACGCAAACGATCGAACCCGCCACACGCTCACGGTCGCTCGAGTTGCCCAGCTGAGGACACGACGGTAGCCTCATGGCGGATCCGTTCAGGGGCCAGGTAGTCAGCTTGTGCATTCGAACAACTGCATTGGCACCTGCTGTCTCAGGCTTGCGGGGCTCGTTCCGAATGTCATCGACGTGTTGCCCTCCACTGCTCGCAGGCCAACCCCTTCCAGAGCAGCTCTTTATATGACCTCAACACCACCTATGTTCCTCCGGACTTGATCATACACGAGGAGACCGCCGACGCGGTGGTGCCGGCGGTGCTTGATGCAGCAGCGGCGCAGCGCTCTCAGCCAGTGCACACAGCATCGGTGCCGCCCGCAGCGCCGGCCGCTGCGCCCTTGCAGTTTACAGGTGAGTTGGTGGTGGCAGCCGCAAAAGCGCCCGGCTTGCTGCACCCCCCAACCAACCTTTACCCAACCAACCCCTTACATATCGCCACAGACTCGCAGCTGAACAGCACACAGGTCACTGGAAACATAGGACAAGGTGCGCAGTCGGCACAGGGTTGGGGAGGCAGCTGCCGTGGGGCGCATACTTAAATCCTCACAGTGTGAAGTGCAGTGGTCGATGGCCGTTGGCGTGCCGTCCAAGTACCCCCGTCGCCAGCCGCCGCGCGCGAACCCGCTGACCGCGGCGCCCCTGCCCGCGTCTGGCCGCCCGCCCAGGCGCAGGCGCCGCCGGCAGCGGCAGGCCCGGCGCGGCGGGCCCGGCGTCGAGCAGCGCGCCGGCAGCGCCGCCGGGCGATGATGACCCCTCGAAGTACGCGCTCTGGAATGTGCGGCGGTACAGGTCATTCTTCAACGTCGACACAAACGTGAGGACGGGACGCGCCACGCGGCGGTGCCATGGCTTTGCAAGGGGCAGAGAGGGGAGGCGGCTGGCGTGGGCGCGTCTGTCGTGGCGGCTGGCTAATGCTGTGGCGCGGAGAGGCCCGCAGGGCTTGACACAAAGGGCTCGTGCCGCAGACGTGATCGGCGGCACCAGTAGCCCCGGCTGCGGTGCCATGCCGGTTGCAGTGGTGCCAAGCAAGGCGGGACAGGCAGAAAGGCTTCGCAGCCTCTGTGCAGCTGACGAAAGGGTGGGCAAGCTGGCACGGCAGGCTGACGGGAGCAGGGTAGGCTAGCGGCAGACCAGGAACAGCCAGCTGGTCCACCGCGCACCCCCCCTCCCTTTGACCAGGATGAGCAGCACCCAGCTGTACGTTTTCTGCAGCTCAGCGCCACCCCCTGCTGCAGCACTCCTGCTCCTGCCAAGCATCCAGGCTGCTCAGTGCCGCACCAAAACGCATTCGCCCCCCAGAACACACCCTCACACACCCACACACGCACGCACAGGACGTGCTCTGGCGCGTTGGCAGCAGCTTCCTGGGGCCCTTCAAGCCCGACTTCATGGCCGAGACCATGACCAGCCCGGACCTCTACGGCCCTTTCTGGGTGGCCACCACACTCATTTTCGTGACCGCGGTGGCGGGAAATTATGCGGAGTTCATAGCATGGAACCGGGAAGCCGCGGCGGCGGGCGGCAAGGGCGACGCCGGCGGCGGCGGGGCCGCGCCGATCCCCGCGCCTGGCGGCGGCGCGGGCGGCGGCGCGTCGATCGCGGACCATCAATGGTGGGTGCGCACGCACGCACTCTACGGCTGAGCCGCCGCTTTCGCACGCGCCCGGCGTCGCTGATTCTGGCAACCTGTGCTGAAGCCGGACGACTCGGGGGCCCTGCGCCGCAAGTTATGTCTGCTATCATCGGCGTGCGCACTGTGGCCGGCGCCCGGCTGTGCGCCGGCGCATTGCTTGCCATGGCCCCCTGCCAGCTGACCTCTGGCCCTTGGCCCGGCTGCTCGGCAAACCCTGCGTCAGGTACACCGACTATGCGAAAATCAGCTACTCGGCCGTGCTATTTTACGGCTACGTGTTTGTGCTGGGGATGGCGTTCTACTTCACGCTGCGGTGGTTCAGGTGGGGGCGGCCGGGGCAGGGCGCCGTTAGAAGGGGCCGCTGAGCGGCACAGTCTCTTTACTTGCAAGTTCGAGGGTAGGGGCCGCGCGGTCCCGCGGTGCGAAGCCAGGCGCGCCTCGCTCGGTATCGGTGGCCGTGTTATGTACGTCGCGGCTGCCCCTTGTCGGCACCGTCCCCGCCTCCGGCGTCTGCCCGCCGCGCTGGGCCCCTTCCTGACAACCCCCCCCCCC